GGTTGTTTGCTGGCAGGGTGATGGTAACAGGGAGGGACAGGGCACTTGAGGAACCTGGAGGTGGTGTGAAATAGCCCTGCGTGGGGAAGGATGAGGGACTTCAGTTTCAGAAACAGAGAGTTAATTCCAGAGGCTGGAGGGGATCCATGAGCAGTGGCTCCAGTTCTCTTGGGGGCATGGTTTCCTACAGCCATGTTGGCAGCCTGGGTGTACGAGTGGAGAAGACAGATGGTTGGGATGGCGAGGCTGATCCAAAGGTGAGGAACTACCAGGTGGATGCGGCAGAAGGACAGAGAGCAAAGACTCTGGAGTGCTGGCAAGAGAGTGGTTGACATCTGTGCCCGGAGTCTGAGCTGAATGGCGGAGCAAGTGAGGCCAAGAGGGAGAAAAGAGAGCGGCTGGGGCTTGAGCTGGGCTGCCAAGAGGTTTATTGAAGTAATTTCCGGTCACCGAATCCTACGGTCGGTCCGGGAATAGCCAGTTCAAAGGACCGGGAGGAGAGATGGCCTGGACCAAATCTGGCCGCGGGCAAGACGGGAGGGGCTATCCTTTGAGCAACCGGAGTGTTTGTATCCCCAAGGAGGAGAGAGGAGACGGGTGCTGGCCCCGAGCTGAAGAGGGAGGCTGTTTCGGGCACATTATTGCATGAGCGACGGCTGTGAGAAGTGTTCCAAAAAATGTGATTTTGAAAAACAAGGAGGCCTTAGAGATTATTTCACCAGAACGGTCCAGAGCTGTTGAGCAACTGCACCCCCCCACCCCGTCCCCCGCCAGCCTCGGTGGGATTCAAACCCAGGTGTTTTCAATTTAAGTTGGTGATTGTCTTTAACCCACTACCATGTTCTAAAGCTTTAGCGCAGAACAAGTCTTAGTTTTTCATGGGGCAGGAATGGCGTCTCACGCGTCTCTGCACTCTTGGTCGTTCCCAAGTCAGTCACTGCTCAGTGCGTTCTTTGCGATGGATTTGTGGGAGTAGCACATATCTTAGGGAAGAAGTATAGCAGGGAGTCCGAATTTTCAAGTTGTTACTATTTCTTTCTATGTTCTTAGGGATCTTCCTTTCTTTTGACCCTTACTGCGCAACTGTTCCTCTGGACATGTGCTACACGCTTTGTCACTAGAGCTTTGTCTTGTAGACACGCTAATTAAAACAATGCCTTTCTGAACCCAATGTCTTGTGGAAGCTGATTTCTCAGAGACCATGTGACCCAGCTGCACAGAGTTAAGTTGGAACCCACTTAAAGAGGAAAATCACCTCTGAGCTTCCTTGTGGTTGATCAGGCAGCATGGAGGTGAGGGCAAGGGGATAAAAGATGTTGGACCTCGGCAAGCATGAACAAGGGTGAGTTTATCTTCCCCAGGAATATTCCACTAAGAAATAGAAGTGTCCCTGGTGGAATGTAGCTCAGCTAAACCTAGCCATGCCTTACAGTTTGTCTTTGTAGTTTAAAGGACAGAGTAGGCTTTGTGGCATCAAAGGCATCCTGTGCAGAAGGCCCCAAGTCTCTGTGCTCTGGAAACATCTCTGCCATTCTAGGTAATTAAAGCAGAACTAGTCGGAGAACAACCTGGAAAACCAGAAGTTAGCAGTTCTATTTCTGCAAAGCAGAGCCTTCTGCGTAGCATTTTTGCTAAAAGCTGGGATCAAAATTGGTGACAACATAACTAAACCAAAGATCACATTGACAAATGGGGGAAAAAATACCTAGATTTTTTTTTTTAAGGAGCCTCTGTGTCCATACAGAGTTCCTGTATCTAATGTTCCATCAGAAACTTAAGAGTAATGCTGTCATCACCTTACCTGTTTGGACTTGTTTCTACCACTTTCAAGAGTTGCCACTTCTCCAAAGACAGAAACGAGTACTGCCACAGGACCTTGGTTGTGACTACATGGTCCCAAAAGTGAGGCTTCTAAAGAAAACAGGTTTACCTGAAATACTTCTTGAATCTTCAAACATACCATTAGTGATTGTGTATTTAACTTATCGACAAAATAGGATATAGATTATTTTTCCCTTTTTAGAAAAAATATTTATTTATTTATTTATTTATTTATTTATTTATTTATTTATTTTGAGGGAGAGGGGCAGAGAGAGAGAGGGAGAGAGAATCCCAAGCAGGTTCCACACTGTCAGCTCAGAGCCTGACATGGGGCTTGAACTCACAAACCTGAGCCAAAATCAAGAGTTGGATACTTAAGCAGCTGAGCCACCCAGGTGCCCCTAAATACATATATATTTTTAAGTAATCTCTTTGCCCAAGGTGGGGCTCGAATTCCTGAGCCCGAGGTCAAGAGTCACATGCTCTAACAACTAAGCCAGCCAGGCAACACCCTGCCGCCTTTAACCTCTGTTGACAACTCTTGAATATAAGGTAGATGTTGGCCTCTGACCCGACTAAAATGCTCCATTCTCAAGATGAACTCTTAGTGATCAAGACGCTTTGGGTTGTTTCTCCTGCAGCATGAGATTTATTATGTTCATACAAAATCAATTACCTTAGTTTGTCATTTTAAAGTTTCCAGCTACGCGGGGCGCCTGGGTGACTCAGTCGGTTAAGTGGCCGACTTCGGCTCAGCTCATGATTTCGAGGTCCATGGGCTCAAGTCCGGAGAGGGGCTCTGTGCTAACAGCTCAGAGCCTGGAGCCTGTTTCAGATTCTGTGTCTCCCTCTCTCTGACCCTCCCTATTCATGCTCTGTCTCTCTCTGTCTCAAAAATAAATAAACGTTTAAAAAAAATTTTTTTTAATTAAATAAAATAAAGTCTCCAGCTATGGGCGCCTGGGTGGCTCAGCCAGTTAAGGGTCCGACTTCGGCTCAGGTCATGATCTCACAGTTTATGCGTTGGAGTCCTGAGTCAGGGTCTGTGCTGACAGCTCAGAGCCTGGAGCCTGCTT